AAGCTAACGCGATTGAGCCTCCCAAATAAACGAACTAGATAAAAAAAAAAAGTTTAGTGTGCGTTTGAACAGCTACATTAAGTGGTGAATTTAGTTTGATGGTGAAAAATCGATTTCCTATACTTAAGATAACCCAACCTTCCTTTTTTATGGTAAAAAAGTTAGTTTTATTTATTTTTAAATAGGGGAAATGGCTCTAAAGATGGCTTAAGATTGGGCCCATCGCTAAGAATCTGCTATTTATCAATTTTATCTAGATGAACGCGTCATTGGGACGGTACCAATGGATATTTTTGGTGGATTCCCTCAAACCGGTGGCCCTAATTTCCAAGGAGGGTCCCGTCTCGGCTCAAACAAGATGGCCATGCCACGGTCAGCAGATGCCGTCAACGACGGAAGACGCCTGCCAGCCAAACAAGCCAGCAACGCCTGCTGAGCCATATGTGGCTGATGAACGCCACCAGATCCGCCATTCTCCCAATTAAGCAACGAAACGCTGTTTGCAGCCCGCGTTGCAAGTTTCCAGCCACACGGTAGTGCAGGAGCAGCCGTGTGGGCCAACGCCAGCGTCGCGACACCGAAGGAGATTCTGCTGCAACAGTGAGTGCCGTACCATTCATAAACTCTCGCATACACGCCACATATTTGTGCAAACCCACACCCACACGCCACAGAATAGAGCAAATAAATGTTGGAAAATGTGAATATTCCTGTGTGTTTCATACTTTGTCGACGTAGCCCCTCCGAATACCCAGTAACATGCCGGCCCTGCGACACAGTTCAGGGGTCTCATGCTACTGAGTTAGTTACCCGTGAGTGTCTGGTCATGCCATGGTCACAAAATTTAGTCGATTGCTGAATTTATGTATGGGCCCAAATAAGGGACATTTAGGCCGACATTACATCCATTTCCCCTACAGTTGTTTTTTAAAAGACACCCGTCGCTGTTTCTTGGTTATCGTTCAATATATTGCAGTGATTTCTTGCACTGAGAATGGGATGAATACAATTTCAACTTAAACGCTGTCCAGACTGGAGAGTTATAACATGTTATAACGGTTGTCAACTAATTGTAACACAGAAACCACCATCAAGATAGCGCTATAACATGTTATAGCTCTGTAGTCTGAACGTACTATTACCCCCTTGTACTCATTTAGATTTGCCCCGTAGGGTGTAAACATGTGGGGCAATTGGGTTCTTTAAGGGTATTGAGATAAATGCATATTCGTTGTCTGCATTAAAAATGGAACTCAAACCCAAAATTTCATCAATTTTGGTACACTGGAACTATTTTAAATAAGAACGATTACATTCGCAAAAAATCACCTTATTAGCGCCTCTCGGTGTCACTTTGTATGGGAGCGAGCTGTCAGTTTGTCAGTTTAGTGTCAAACAGTGAAGTTAATATTTTGCTTTAAATCTTGATTTAAAAATCGAGCTGAAAGTGTGTGGGTTCGAAAAAAATATTGCTGTGCTCAGAAAACGAAGCTCTTTCAGATGATATATAAAAACGGATATATTTTTCAAAATTAAAGAACCCAATTGAAATGCTTGAAATGTTGAGGAGGTTTTTTTGTAACTTCATTTGTAACCAGATTTTTCAATACCATTACTTCAACTAGCCTACAAGTTATATTAGGCTACAAATCTGCTTCCCTGGTACATACAAATAGGTAAAATATAGAAAATTAAACTTTTTTCAATTGATTGGAAATGTGTGTATTTAAATTTCATGTAAACATCAGCGATGTTATTGAAACATTTCATCTTTTTTATTGGCACATTTAAATTTTTTAATTGGTGAAAATGCCTGTTTTTTTTTGGATCAGTTCTTGATTTTTCAGCGTGCATATTATGTTATCATTCCTTTATTCCTTTATTTAACGTCGGTCTCTGTTCTACAATCTATTGCCAATAACCATCCATTGACGGCAATCGAATGTGCAGGAAGGCAGCTTCCACACCTGCGTAGGATATCACACCCATTCAACACACATGGGCCGGGACCAACGGCTTTACTTCTCTTCCGAAGGAAGACGTGACCAGAGATTTTTATGCCTCAGATACGATATTATCAATTTAGAGATTTCTAAATGGCCTAAAAATAAATAAATATGATAAGTAATCACGCAGAACAAAAGCCCTCGTTGCTAATGATTGTAATACCATTTGTTCGTCAATTTCCTTTTTGTAAAATTATATTGCCATATTAAACACTATATATTGCCTATGTGAGGTCAAAACTGAAATATTGCAGCATTGTATGGTCTCCTTTTTCAATCACGCAGGAAGAAAGATTAGAATCGGTACAAAAAACAATTTCTGTTATACGCTCTTTGTAAATTAGGTTGGACATCATTTCCTCTTCCATCATATTAAGCATGCTGTATGCTCATAAACATACAAACATTAAATTTGTAAACGATATCGTTTCGCAGCGCATTGACTCCACAGAACTTTTATCAAAATTAAATGTCCATGCACCTACTGAGCAACTCCGAAATCGAAATTTATTTGCCATAAAACATCATCGCACAAATTAGCGTTAGCGTTGTTATGATATACTTCGTAGATTGAATACTAGCGAACCTCACGTCTCTTCTGAAATTCTCAGTTAGACTACTTTCAGGAATAATGCTGAGGAGTAAACATTGGCTCCAATCTAAACAAGAGTAACAGAAGCATGACTGTCGCTATTCTCGGCCACGCCCATCTTTACCATAACTAGGGATAGGGAAGGAAATGTTGATGTAGTACTTACTTAACGAGAGGCCACCGACTTAGCAACACCCTCATAAGTGCTATGGAGTTGGAGGGTTGGGTAGGGTATTCGGTTAGGATTCACCTCAAGTTGGCGATGCAACCAGAAGTATGTATTGTTTATTTGTTGTTTATTTAATCTCTCGATAGCCGGCTATCGAAAGAACATATTAATTTTGTTTAGTGATAATGAATTTTAAGAGTCATGACGGAGAGCTTGGGATTAAACCCATGATTTTCAGCTCAGTAAGCAAAAACGATCCCTCCTGGGTCATCGAGCATCTCAGAACCATAACGCTTCGCGACAATACAGGACTACGTTTTCGCTTGATATGCAAATAGTTTCCGAGGTTAATGTTCAATATCAAATATACAAATGATGGTGGCGATTTATTGTGCTGTGGAAGAGCTTGGGATTAAATCCATGATTTTCTGCTCAGTAAGCAAAATCGATCCCTCCAGGGTCATCGAGCATCTCATAATCCACAGCGCTTCGCGTCAAAGTATGAATATATGGATGAACTACCTATTATTGAATAACTATTATTTACGATAATTACATGAAAGAAAAAAAATATAAACTACAAACAAAACGTGACAACTAAAATCTCAAAAAGATATTCTCACAAATATATTTGACGCAACCAGGAATCTCAAAACCATTAGACGCTATAATGATACTTTGCACATGTTAGACACAAGAAGAGACCAAAAAGCAAGCATCCGACACAAAAAACTCGCCAAATCCACTTGCAGTCACAATCAACGATTCTACGAATCGCGAGCGCTCACGAATCATAAAACCGCTGACTGTGACACTCTTAAAGCGAAATTGGCAGGCTCTATGCGTCAAACACCCGCCCTCCAATCTCCACCCACATCCAACAACACTAATTTCCATTTCAACATCTAACGAATTCAAAACTCCGAAAATCACTCATCTATAGCAAGCGAGTGGAAGCAACCCTGCATGCAACCATTCTTCATGATACACTTTTTCTGCATATCTATAAACTAAAACAATATTTTTACTCCATAAGGCATTGTAACTCATAAAAAATAGGAAAGCTGACACTTCTTAATTTTTATGAACGACAAGATGCCAAGTTTCAAATAACATACTTAAAGTGGTCATTTTATACAATAGATGAGGAGATAAACGTATAGAGCTGATAGTTCCGTTAGAGTACGGCAGTGTGAAAATTGTACATAGAGAGTAGAAAGCGAACAAGTACAACTTTGAGGAAGGTACGAATCTGGTTGAGGGGTATCCCCCCACCTCCACTACAGTTCGATCTATAAACCTACCTTAATATATGCTATATTGATATCCAACCAGGCAAGAATCGATTCTGTAATGTGGTCATCGGAAGGTTTTATAAATAATTTGGAACTTTTCGAAAAAAAAAGGTTTTCTCCAATCAACTCGTAAAGGTTATAAAAGAAATTAATTTTGTTCTTAAAACTTGCTTGTACGCTTCAGTTCATTGTATAAACTGTTGTTACTTTTTTGTAAGAAAAAATGCTGAAGATGCAGATTTTGCACCTCATTACCCATAAAAAAAATCCAATAAAAATACAATGTCATTATAACCATGATATTTACTGTCAAAACATTGGAAATTTCTCGATTACCATAAAATTCATGGTCCACAACAATGAAAATCATGGTTTTGCATTAAGCATCTTAACAATAAAAAACAGATTTTTCTCGAACAAATTTAATCTCATCACGTTAATTTTCATTGTTTGAGCATTGTATCGTTGAAAACAGAAATATAATTTTTCACCCGTACAACAATTTTACAATAATGTTTAATATACTCACAATTCAACAGTAAACATCATTGTAATTTCGTTTTTTAAATTTTATTATATTTTTTTCGGGTAGACTTCTGCGATAAATATAAATACACAGTAATATTTTCGGACTGATAATAAAATTTAAATATTAAATTACTTTAAAATAGCTTGAGCTAGAATTGAACAATGTAGCTTGCCAACATTGTTTTAAGACTGCTACTGCTTTAAAGTGCAAATAAAGTGATCACAGTCGCTTACGATGTATAAGATCACCAAAGTAGACATTGAAATTAATTCTCAATTAAATGTCTACTTCGTCTGCCAATTACTACTGGCAGCACTGAAATACAACACTAACGCTTAATACTTGTGCATTCGTTTACATTCTCCCAAACAGCCTCCTTAATTCATTTGGCAGCTGTAGCGGTATCGGTGAAGAGGTAAACAAAAACAAGTAATCATCGCTGTGCATTAAATCATCATAACACAATTTTAATTTCCAGTTAAAATGAAAGCTTTTGCAGTGACAGCCGTGTTTGTTCATGTGCTATTTTTGCTTTCAATATTTTATATCTATTTCCAATCACCGATATTGCAAAACCTTCCCGTGGGAACCGATGATGACACTGCAGTGGCTGATAGGTAGGTAACATTTTTTCAAGTTTGTTTCCTCCAATATGAACGAACGCACACTCAACAAAGTAATTCACTGACAGGTAGGGTAATCATGTCGGTAAACAAAACATCTCGACGAAACTGGAAGTTGATATTTTAATTTTTGATGTTATGGGTTATCCTTCTTTTCTAGAGATCATGATTTATTAAATCCTTGTTGTTATTGCTATGATCAGACTAGAAAGTTATAACTTGTTATAATAATTATTGTCAAGAAAGATGTCATGAAGATACTAATGTTCTCCTATGAATCTAACGATTGAGCCTATCGATAAAAATTACCCGTTTTTTCAATTTTACGTCATTTGTAAAAAAAAAAAATAGATAGTTAACTGTCCAGATGCCGGTGTTCTATATCTCGATACGTGACCACTTTTTTCTATGTGTACAATCAAGCGTTATGGAATTACGAGTACTGCATATAAATGATTTGAAAGCTATTTGTGACAGGACTCAACGGACTGTTTTTAATGATTATGTTTCAAGCCCCGTGGAGAATAACCTTGAAAAGCTCCAGGGAAGTGTATTAGGGCCTCTGATATTTATTATGTATATTAATGACTTGCGACGTGTTTTACGATTTCGCGGCATTAATCTTTTTGTAGACGATACTGTGTTATTCATGGCAGCTAAGGATTTAGACGATGCCGTTTTACACTTGAATGCAGATTTGCAGTATCTAAGTAGATGGTTGAACCATAAGCAGTTGAAATTCAATACATGTAAAACTAAATTTATGGTAATTTCGCGGAATTGAGTAAATGAGAATGTCTCTGTTGTAATTGATCATGTGATTATTGATCGTGGTGGGGAGATTTAATATCTTGGCGTGATTATTGATGACGAACTTATGTTTAACTCTCACATTGACAATGTTATCAAGAAAATTATCAAGAAGTATGGAATTCTATGTCGACTGAAACACTATTTAACTATTGCCAGTAAAATACAGCTTTACAAATCAAGCATCTCTCCTCATCTAGACTTTTGCCCTTTTATTTCATTTCTGGCCAATGAAATACAAATATCGAGAATACAATGGTTGTCGGTGAAGTAAAGAATTGTTTATTTGACTATGGTGTTCATTTTTTAATTAGTTAACGGTTTGCTGCCTCGATATTTGTGGGCTTGAATTAATTATATGTTTTGAGTTGTAGCTATACTGAAGATCCGAGAGATGTCGCCCCTTCAGTGGTAGGAAAATCATTTTTGCAGTATGGAGAATATCAGAAAATCCACGATTTGTGACTAAACATGCTTGCACAGCAGGAAACAAATAAACGAATGTTTACCTTATCACCATAGTAATGTACTCGTGCAATTTTTGTGCATCTAAAACGATAATGAATAAAAACTGAAAATTCTCATGCATTTCCAAATGGTTTCCTACCATTCCCATACATTCGAAGTGACCGGCCCACTGGATGTGGATGATGTCAAAAACAACAAAACATGATTAATTGAAAGAGGAAGTGACTTTCATAGATATAATAATAGAAACGCGGATGAAATGAGAACACCACATATTTTGACTTGTGCTACACAGAATTCATTGTATTTTAAAGGAGTTAATGTTTTTATCAGAATTTAAGAGACATTGCATTTCACACGTTAAAACTGTCTTTTGAACGGTTATCCAGTGATTTGAATTGACAAATTATGTATCGTGATGAAGATATCTCTAACATATTGTTCTGTATGAATAGCTGTCATAACGACTTTTTAATAATGATTGTAGCACTGCTAGTTTTTTTCGCCACGATGTTAATGATGGATTTTTGATGTTTGATTTAATAGTAATAGTTTAAAGAAATAAAGAACACTACAAAATTTGAGCGCGTTTTACCTATATCCTTAATGACTGATTTTAACATTTGATTGAAGCTTATTTGGAAGATACCTTGAGTTAGTAATAAGTTTTCTGGCATATATCGGGGGTTCGTGAGCATTCCTGACATTTCTGAAAATTATGATAGCATCAGATTGTGGGGTTGATAGTGTAAAAGGATGCTTTGTTGATTGTTCATTAACGCTTAATTGCTTGTAATACTTATGAATATTTTAGATGGACGAAAAGGCGAACTACGAGTTCGATTTTGTTTGCAAACCTTGTTTAAAGTCATATTTAGTTATCTTAAAGATAAATCGTCCAGCTCGAACTTTTGTAGGGGTAAGAGGTGGGACCATTATCATCATCATTATCATCGTGTGTCGATGATAATTTCGGTGCCTGCAAACGGGCTTGTAAGCAAATCTTGATCTATATCTCGATGTCTATATCTTCAATATTGAGATATGGATAGTTGACAATAGCAAAAAAAGGCAAACAAAGCTTCCTTCGAAATGTATATATGGGTTCAATAGTTATTAGGAACACTTAGGCCGACATTAGGGACATTAACCCTATATGTTCGATGACCATGTTTGCTACATTTTGTTGATTTCTCATTCGAAAATCCATAATGGTGAATAAAATTGGATTGTTAATCGATAATACGATAACATTTTTTTTTTTTTCGGTAACGCCTGCTATGAGAATTTCCAGTTGCAGACGTTATTGAGTTATTGGTTAACAACCCTGATGCTATTTGCTTGCAGCACTACCCAAGTAACAATTTTTGTTTTATGAGGGTTCTGTAGACCATGATTTAGACTAGTAGAATGCTATAAAACCTCTATAAAGTTTGCAATGTTACTTGGGTAGTCTTCATCCTGAACATAGCATTAATGTCATGTTCAAACTACAGCCTTATATCATATTAAAGGAATTAAAACTGAGATGATGATGATGATGATGGTCCCACCTCTTACCCCTACAAAGGTTTGAGCTGGACGATTTATCTTTAAGATAATTAAATATGACATTTTAACCAGGTTATCAAACAAAATCGAACTGGTTACCCGAGCAAAGTCCAGCAAATTGAAATCAAGTTTTGATATCAACATCAAACTGAAATCCTAATTCCCTCCCCATGGACATGGAGGTTGACGGTACTGAAGCAAAGGGTTATGTTTAATTTCTTTATATTTGCAACGATGATGATTTCCTATAGTGACACATATCACCTTCTTAATGCTTCAGTATACCTCAAACGATTAATTCTTGGTTGTTAATAGAACTTCCTGGATGCAATCGGCTGCTTCATGCAGACTGAGCAATTCTGATTATAGTATCAGATTTGTTCTGTATACAGAGGAACTGGGAGGGCTTATTAGAAACTTCTCACCAATAAAGTAATGACCTTCTAGTAAATTTTGCATATCATTTTATTAATATTTTATTTTATTTAAGCATATTATTTTTGTTACAGTCAATTAGCATTAGCATACAATACAAGAGATTTAATATTACTTGCTCGGTTTTGCGTAAAATAATCAATATGTATTTTGCTTGTAATTACCTTTGATTTTTTTTTTGTGATTTCAAAATTTTCCTAGTTTGGTTAGAAGTTTCGAAGCTAACACACGTCCACAGGCCTAATAGAAAGATAGACAGACAAAGCGTATCATGAAGAATAGTTGCATGCAGGGTTGCTTCCACTCACTTTCTATAGATGAGTGATTTTCGGAGTTTTGAATTCGTTAGATGTTGTAATGGGGGTTTGTGTTGTTGGATGCGGGAGGAGATTGGAGGGCGGGTGTTTGACGCATAGAGCCTGTCAATTTCGCTTTCAGAGTGTCGCAGTCAGCGGTTTTATGATTCGTGAGCGCTCGCGATTCGTAGAATCGTTGATTGTGACTGCCAGTGGATTTGGCGGGTTTTGTGTGTCGGACGCTTGCTTTTTGGCCTTTTCTTGTGTCTAACATGTGCAGAGTATCATTATAGCGTCTAATGGTTTTGAGATTCCTGGTTGCGTGAAATATACTTCTACTATTAAATCAAATAATAATTCATCGTCACCATCGTGGCAAACAAAATAATTATTTAAAGTCGTGATAAAAGCTATCCATACAAAATAATCCATTAAAAATAACTCCGTCAAGATACATAATTTGTCAATTCATTAAAAAAATCACTGGGAAACCGTTCAAAAGACAGTTTAACGTGTGAAATTCAATGTCTCTTAAATTCTCCTAAGGGGTTACGCCTACCTGCAAAACCGAAAAAAAGCGAAAGTTTGGATTTTTTTCTCGAAAACGACGCAACATATTGAAAATCGGTTTTCTGCCGTTTATTGAACACACATTAGATGGTACATTTATCAGTCGATGCTGTAAAAACGAGGTCCTGGTGCCCCGCACGGCTGCTCCCCGTGGACGATGTTCTAAAAAACGCTTTTTGTGGTGCCAACTGCTGTTTGTGATGTAATCGTCTGAAATAAAAAAAAGCATGCCAAATCGTTAAGCATGGGTTAAACTAGTTCTTGATCGTTCGGTTTTTTTTTTTTTATTTTTTTGACAAAATGGTGGTCTTGCAAAGTTGAAGTGCCGATTTTTGATCCTGAAAATTTGTCTTTGATCGGCTGCAAAAAATCGAAATTAAATGATAGACGAAATCCGAACGATCGTGGACTGCACAAAATAGTACTGAACAGAAATCAAAACGAATCGGACGAATCGAATGTATACAGTTCAAGAAATTTTAGGCACCAGTTTTGAAAATATGATTCCAAGATAATCGCGTTTAAAGTTTCAAGTTGGGTTTAGTCCACTATGAGTGAATATTTTTGTACGTCGCATAACTTTCACAATTTTCATCGGATCAACTTGATCTTTTGAGGAAATATTCTAGACTTTATATACTTTCGATTAGGACAATAAAAAAATTGATTTTTTGAAAGTTTGCAGGTAGGCGTAACCCCTTAATGTTGTTGCACGTTTAATGTATCTAGGCATCGAATTGAAAACATTTATTCCTTTAAAAAATAATGAATTCTGTGAAGCACAAGTCAAGAAATGTGGTGTTCTCATTTCATCCGCGTTTCTAGTATTATAACTATGATAATCACTTCCTCTTTCAATTCGAT